AATTAAGAATTATATGTATGATGAGGAACAAATTGTTAGGAATATATACACTGGAATGTTATGTTATGTCCATCTTTGTTTTAACTTTTTTATAAATAAAAAACTTTTTTAAAAAAAAAATTACTGTCATTGACATTTGCTCATTTTAAAAAAAAATAGTTGAACCATTGGCCAATTATTATCTCATCAAAACAGAACAATTATCTCACTACAGGAATCACCATGTTTTCTTAGCTAGGCCAAAACACCAAAGGCTGCATAGAAGGGAATTATATTCAGCAATGATCAAGGTATCAGTTTGGATATAAAGTAACACTTCAACCACAGGAAGTTTGGCACAAGGGTAATAATGGCTCTGTCATATACTTTGCTTCAGCTTTCTACCCTCTGTTTTCCTCTCCCAGAGTATCTGTTCAAATCCTGATGGTGTTCAAGATGCAATTTTGCGCTCATGTGGATCTTTAAATAAAAACTGACAGTTTTTCTCATTAGGTGCATTCTCAGAGATAAGCCTTGGATCAATCTTTAGATGAAGTATTGGATTATATTTACCTCTTGATCAGTAGGAGGGAAGGGAAAACATTTTCAGACTAACAAAGCATGAAAATGTTTTTTCTGATATTTTTGGTGTACAAAGTAGTTTCTCTGAAATGCCCTGCAAGCGATGCTTTCCTTGTTCCACATGAGTGGTACCAGCCTGGAGACTTCATCGTTGGTGGGATGGCATCTCACATTGCTTACCACCTTTATGAAATTAAATTTAGTGAAAATCCTTCTACAAAACCTTATGAAATACCAGGGTAATAATTTTTTAATCTATCTAAACTTATCCAAATTTTCAAGAATCTTTAATATGAGTATATCTTTGTGCATAAATTTAGTGTTTTTATTGTAATCTATGACTTAACCTGTTTTGAATTGTACCTGGTTGTGAGAGAAGACATAAACTTTAGATTATTTCAAAATCTTTCACATGAAATGTACAAAATTTAAGATCAAGAAGTCTATATTTTTTGAAAAAATTTGCATATCTCTCCTCACAAAATATACATACAGTATGCAAGTGATACCTCCTAAATCTATTCATATACCATTTTTTGAAAATCACATAGAAAATATATTAATTTGAAAAAAAGTCACTACTTGTATTTGTTGTAGTACATATTTGTTGAAAGTCAGGGAAATGCTGTGTAAAATAAATGTAAACTCTGTATGAATTATTAAGCATTTTAGGAAAGCTATTATCTTCCTACTATCATCAGAGAAAGAAATATTTGTTATTCATACAGTACAGAAATGTTGCCACCTTATGAGAATTGTCAATTTACATTTTCAACTATGATATTTAAATTCTTTGCAGTGTATTCCCCAAATTTCATCAACACGTCCTTGCCTTGGCCTTTGCTGTGAAGGAGATCAATGAGGACTCCCAGATGTTACCTAACATCACTCTCGGGTTCCACATCTATGACAGTTACCTCAATGCAAGGATGACCTATCGCACCACTCTGGACCTGCTTTTCAAATCCCAGGAATTTGTCCCTAACTACAAGTGTGATGGCCAGAAGAATCTCGTGGCTATCATTGGAGGATTGGATTTTGTCATATCATCTCATATTGCTGAAATTGTTCAATTCTTCAAGATTCCACAAGTAAGTTGTGAAAGGGTTAAAGAGAAAAATTCTATATTCTGTTCTTGATGTTGTTATGGAATAATTAAGGAACGTTAAGATTAGACTTAGGTTTGTATTAAGATGTTCTACCTGGCTTAAGGTCTATTAGCATAAATTTGAAACTATAATGCAAATATAAGAAGTCCATAGACATTACATATCTGGAAAAAGAGTTGAACATAGTATTCTTTGCTTCTATCAAAAGAATTGATCAATTATATGAGTTTGAAGTTATTCCAAGAAATTCCTTTCCATATTAATACTTAGAAGAATTTCAGGAAAATAATTCCTTCCTTTGATATATTTTATATGAAAACTAAATCAGGAAAATTAAATTTGATCTACCAACTGAACAAAATACCATTACACTTTCTTGCAGCTGACATATGGCTCATTAGCTCAAGATGCATTTCAGACTAGTAAACTTTCTTCACTTTATTTCATGATCCCAAAAGAGGACCATCAGTACATTGGGATTATCCAACTGCTTCACCATTTCAGGTGGACCTGGATTGGGATTTTTGCTGTTGATAACAATGATGGAGAAAAATTCTTACATAAAATGCAGCCCTTACTTTCAGAGAACGGAATCTGCTCATCGTTCATAGAAAGGCTTGCACAACTCATCCACTTAGAAGATTTCCCAGAAGTTTATCAAACAATCTCAATTATTTCCATGAACTGGATAACTAGCAAAGCCAACACATTTCTTGTCTATGGAGAAGCATTGACAATTACGTGGCTAAGAGCTGTCACATTTATGGTAGATCCTGAAAGGAAAGAAATTGCATTATATAGAAAGGTGTGGATCATGACTGTACAAATTGATTTTGTATTATCAGGATTTCAAATCAGTTGGGATCTCCAGATGTTCCATGGGGCTATTTCTTTCACTGCTCATTCGACAGCAGTTGCAGGTTTCAAGGAATTCCTTCAGACCATCAATCCTCTTTCAGTCTGCAGAGATGAGTTTCTGCAGGAAATTTGGGAACAATTATTTGATTGTTCATTTCCAAAAACAGAATTACAAGAAACACAGAGTAGGCAGTGCACTGGTGAGATGAAGCTAGAGGATCTTCCTGGACCTGCTTTTGAAATGGAAATGACTGGACAAAGCTATAGTATCTACAATGCTGTTCATGCTGTGGCTCATGCTTTGCAAGCTCTATACACATTACATGTCAATAGAAAAAAAACTATGATGTGTAAAAATTCTGACCTTCCACATCTCCAGTCTTGGCAGGTATTCCCTTTGCATTGGACCCTTATTTTATTTCAATAAGCAGTTTGAGGTAGAATTATATTTTGAACCCATTGTGTAAAGTCTTAATATTTTCTCCATATGAAATCAAGCATGAGAAAACAACTTAGAAATAAGGAGAAATTTCCTGATGGTGAGAATAATTAACAATGAATCAGTGGAACAGCTTGCCTTCAGAAGTTTTGGACACTGGAGATTTTTAAGAAGAGAAGGACTACTTATATGAAATAGTATAGGATCTCTTCCTTGAGCAAGGTAGTGGATTAGAAGACCTTCAGGTCCCTTCTGACTATGAAACACTGTTCTGTCTAAAATAGACACAGAAAAGGTAGTTTCTGTTGTTATTCTGATCACCAAGATATACTGTATAAACATGAAACATGTTTGCAATAATCTCTATCTTGCATTCTCTATGGAGTCTCTCATTCTAAAAACTGGCTAAAGAACATTAGTTGCACCTCAGACTGTCAAATTACTTTCTATCAAAGAGAAAAGATTAGATATGACTTATCTTGAATTAGTTGTTTAAGTAGTGGACCTAAAACATAATTGGAAGAAATCACAAAATTCCAGAATCATTTTTAAATTCTGCTGCACTCTTTCATTCTTTCTTTCCTTATATTAATATCAAATTAAATATATAGTATGGACATGTACATTATCATGCACTTAGATAGAATAGAATAGAGCTGGAAGACACCTTGGAAGTCTTCTAGTCCAGCCCCCTGCTCGAGCGGAAGAACCTATGCCATTTCAGAAAGGTAACTGTCCAATTTCTTCTTAAAAACCTCCAGTGATGGAGTGCCCATGATTTCCGAAGGCAAGCTGTTCCACTTGTGAATTGTCCTCAGTGTTAGGAAATTTCTCCTTAATTCCAGGTTGCTTCCCTCTTTGGTCAGTTTTGCAATATTGATTATCCAAATTCTAAGCACAAATATTTAATAATAGTGTTAGCAATTGGAAGAATAACTAAATGAAACTTGAATATGATTTTCCCCTCTCTATTATATAGCTCTCAACATCCTCTCTCTTTCATTCTCTTTCAAGTAGCTCCATCCATTTCTTCAAGGCTTTTCTTTTAACAATTCAGCTGGGGAGAAAGTGTTTCTGAATGAGAAAGGGGAAGCAACAGGTGGATTCGACATCACCAACTTGGTCACTTTTCCAAACAGATCATTTCAGAGAGTTAGAGTTGGAAAGATGGATCTACAAGCACCAAACGGGAAGGAATTATCCATGGATAAAGATTTGATTGTCTGGAGTCCAGCTTTTAACCAGGTATCGAAATAATGAATCCACCATGCCTTAGTCGATTAGGATCCCATATTGAACACATCTTTTTAAAAATCTAATTTCTGGGATTTTTTAAAATAAACAATGGCATATTCCTTCAAATGGTGTTGATGATCAATGATTTGTCAGATTGACAAAGGTGATATTACAATGTAAAAGCCATGGTTGCATATTTGGTGTGCATTTCCATCTGAAATCACAAGAGTGACCATGTTTCTATGAGATTGTCACCATGTGCAATTATTTACTCATCCTGCACTTCAATAGAAACATTTGTACATCATTGTAATGTCTACATCTTTTTAAGTTGTTGAACAAGTTGTTAAATTCAGCATCCTTTTGGGAAGTCAATAATCATGTCACTCTATTAAGAAGAATGTTCAGAATCTGTTTTAAAAACCCTCCTTTTCAAAACATTTTTTTTGTTTATCATAAGGTTCTTCCATTTTCTCGATGCAATGATCCTTGTTTTCCTGGGGACTGGAAGAAAGGGATTGAAGGGAATCAGTTCTGCTGCTATGACTGTGTTCCATGCCCAGAAGGGAAGATTTCAAATCAAAATGGTATGGTAGGAATTCTACCAATTTTCAATAGACTTAAGCAAACTTGAATATACACGTTTAGGATGCATACAATTAATAAAATGGGTTTCACTGATTTGGAATGCCTAAATGACAAATTTCTTGACTTTCCTCCCAGATATGGATGACTGTTTTAAATGTCCAGAAGATCATTATCCAAATGAAGAAAAGAATGGATGTATCCTGAAACGGATGGTGTTTCTAACTATTGAAGAACACTTAGGAATTGGTTTAGCCTCATCAGCTCTTGGTTTCTTCTTCTTGACCTCTTGGGTAATTGGAACTTTTATTAAGCACAGGGACACTCCCATTGTTAAAGCCAACAATCGGTCCCTCACCTACACCCTCCTTATCTCTCTTCAGCTCTGTTTTCTCTCCTCTTTGTTCTTCCTCAGCCAACCTGGTAAAGTGACCTGCCTTCTCCGGCAATCAACTTTTGGAATCACATTCTCAGTGGCTATTTCTAGTGTGCTGTCCAAAACCATCATTGTGGTTGTTGCTTTCATGGCCACTAAACCAGGGTCTCAGATGAGGAGATGGGTAGGGAAAAGATTGGCCTTTTCTACTGTCTTTTCCTGCTCCTTTTTCCAAGTATGTATTTGTATTATTTGGTTGTCAACATCTTCACCATTCCCTGAGTTAGACATGCACTCACAGCTCCAAGAAATGATTTTACAATGCAATGAGGGGTCAGCTTTCTTCTTTTATTGTGTCTTGGGCTACATGGGTGTCTTGACTATTGCCAGCTTTATTGTGGCTTTTCTTGCCCGTAAATTACCTGACAGCTTTAATGAAGCCAAGTTCATCACCTTCAGTATGTTGGCCTTTTGCAGTGTGTGGATCTCCTTTTTTCCAGCCTATCTGAGTACAAAAGGAAAAGCCATGGTAGCTGTGGAGATCTTCTCCATCTTGTCCTTCAGTGCTGCATTACTGGGATGCATATTCTTGCCAAAATGCTACATCATTGTTTTCCGGCCTGAACTAAACCAAAGGGAGCATCTCACAAAGAGAAATTAGTATAACATGTGATCTTTCTGGCCCAGAGAACTTAGTGACAAGAAAGAATAGAAAGACTGTTTGCTGTCTAGAGAAAGTATATAGAAGTTTTATTTTTTGTCAAAGGAGAGTCTTTGTAGCAAGATTTATTATAGTTGCCCCAAATAAATGTTTGCAGTGCTGCATTTTCAACTATTTTCCAAGATGGTAGAATATAATGCTTTATCTCTTGTAACACTCTACTTCATGAGACTTTGAAAAAAATTGATTTATCATGAATTGTTAGGACTTTTCAGGTTTTGACTCAAAGCTTGTCCAATGTTTGACATGCTACTTTCATGATGTTTATACTTTCTATTTATAGAATAGTTTCTATAAATACTATTCTATATTAAGTTTCTGAATGCTGTACATTTCACCTTGTTTTTAAAATGTCATGTTGAATCATTACTATTCATTCTTTTTATATAAACATAGGTTCATTGAAATTGATTATCAGATTGTAATAATATGAAAATCTATTGAAATGAAATGAAATGTATTCTTGCTTCTTTGTCAACCTTTATTCAAAGTATATGCTGCCCAATATCTATAATGAAGAGTGATTTTATTTATGTAGGAGAAGAGTGGTAGAACCAGAGGGATGAATGAAAAGAGTAATCAATTACATAGCCACAAGTGCAACCACCCCTTGAATGCCATTGATCCTTATCTCGTTCTAACCATATGCTGACCATTCATGGAGTAGATTTCTCTGCATAGATTTTAACCATTAAATCAATTACTTGAACCTTCATGTGTGGACTTCTTTTTTTGTGTCTGACATTAATCTCCACTCCCAAACATTTTTACTGATGACTTCTTCTGAGTCCCACCAAAAAGGCAATGGAGCATTTATTTCCATCTTATGTTTTCAGATCATCATCTTAATGGTAGAAGTCAGAGATCTTATACAGGTGAAACTCGAAAAATTAGAATATTGTGCAAAAGTTCATTTATTTCAGTAATGCAACTTAAAAGGTGAAACTAATATATAAGATAGATTCATTACATGCAACGCAAGATAGTTCAAGCTGTGATTTGTCATAATTGTGATGATTATGGCTTACAGCTCATGAAAACCCCAAATCCACAATCTCAGAAAATTAGAATATTGTGTAAAGGTTCAATATTCTAGGCCCAAAGTGTCCCACTCTAATCAGCTAATTAAGCCATAACACCTGCAAAGGGTTCCTGTGCTTGATTGGCCAGCAAACTTACCTGACCTGTACCCCATAGAGAATCTATGGGGCATTGCCATGAGAAAGATGAGAGACATGAGACCGAACAATGCAGAAGAGCTGAAGGCCGCTATTGAAGCATTCTGGTCCTCCATAACACCTCAGCAGTGCCACAGTCTGATAGCTTCCATGCCACACCGCACTGAGGCAGTAATAGCTGCAAAAGGGGCCCAAGCCAAGTACTGAGTACATATGCATGCTTATACTTTTCAGAGGTCCGATATTGTTCTATGTACAATCCTTGTTTTATTGATTGCATGTAATATTCTAATTTTCTGAGATTGTGGATTTGGGGTTTTCATGAGCTGTAAGCTATAATCATCACAGTTATGACAAATTACAGCTTGAACTATCTTGCTTTGCATGTAATGAGTCTACCTCATATATTAGTTTTACCTTTTAAGTCGCATTACTGAAATAAATGAACTTTTGCATGATATTCTAATTTTTCGAGTTTCACCTGTATAAGATCTCTGACTTCTACCGTTAAGATGATGATCTGAAGACATAAGATAGAAATAAATGTTAGGCTCCATTGCCTTTTTGGTGGGACTCAGAAGAAGGCCTTCTCCCTTTGGAACATCATTCCTATGGAATTTAGATTGGCTCCTACTTTGATATTCTTTGGCAAGGACCTGACGACCTGGTTATGTCAAGTTATGACCTGGAAGTCAAAATGGGATGGAGCACATCAAGTGGCTTATCTGATTGATTGTTACCACCAGGAGTGTGGGGGGTTATTATTTTTATTGTTTGTATATTGGATTTTTATTTTTTTTAACAGCCCAGAGATACTGACAGTAAATGGGCAGCTAAACAAACAAACAAATAAATATTACAATGGTATATAATAAGGTTTTATACAAGGATGTTCTTTAAATTTCAATTTATAAAACTGATAAACTATGTGGGACATCATGCCACCAAGTGGACTTGTAGAGAAGTCCAAAAGTAACTAGTTCCTGTCTGAAGTAGGCTTGCACTTTCATTATCGTTTGGATGATTTGATCTATCTATCTATCTATCTATCTATCTATCTATCTATCTATCTATCTATCTATCTATCTAGATAGATAGATAGATAGATAGATAGATAGATAGATAGATATCATCTATCTAACTATATCTAATCTATTTATATATCTACCTACATGCTTACCTACATATCTACCTATCTATCATCATGTGAGGTATTAATACCACTCTATAAAGCCTTAGTAAGTGACACCTAGAATACTGCATCCAGTTTTGGTCACCACACTATAAAAAAGATGTTGAGACTCTAGAAAGAGTGCAGAGAAGAGCAACTAAGATGATTAGTGGCCTAGAGGCTAAAAGGTATGAAGAACAGTTGCAAGAACTGGGCATGGATAGTCTAGTGAAGAGAAGGGCCATGGATGACATGATAACAGTGTTCCAATATTTGAAGGGCTGTCCAAGAGAAGAGGGGGGTCAACCAATGGATGGAAACTGATCAAGAGAGATTCAACTAGATTCATTGAAGCTGTCAGGTAATTTATTTCCTGTAAAGTGCAAACTATCTTTCTATTTCTTTTTTCAGGAATTTTTCTGAACCAGAAATATCACATGATATACTAATTTCTCTTTATGAATTTCTCCCTATGGTTTAGCTCAGGCTGGAAAACTATGATGTAGCACTTTGGCAAGAAATATGTATCCAGTAATGCAGCACTGGAATACATGATGGAGAAGACCTCCACAGCTACCATGGCTTTTTCTTTTGTGCTCAGATAGGCTGAAAAGAAGGAGATCCACACTCTGCAAAATGTCAACATGCTGAAGGTGATGAATTTGGCTTCATTTAAGCTGTCAGATAATTTATGAACAAGAAAAGGCATAACAAAGCTGGCGATGCCCAAGACACCCATGTAGCCCAAGACAGAATAGAAAAAGAAAGCTGACCCCTCATTGCACTGTAAAATCATTTCTTGGAGCTCTGAATATATGTCCATCTCAGAGAATGGTGGAGATGTTGACAGTCAAAGAATACAAATACACACTTGTAAGAGAGAACAGGAAAGGACAGTACAAAAAGCCAATCTTTTCCCACCCATTTCCTCAACTGAGATCCCGGTTTAGTGGCCATGAAAGCAACAACTACAGTGATGGTTTTGGCCAATACACTAGAAATAGCCACCGAGAAAATGATGCCAAACATTGATTGTCGGAGAAGGTCACTTTGCCAGGTTGGACAAGGAACAACAAGGTCGAGAGAAAACAGAGCAGAAGAGAAACAAGCAGGGTGTAGGTGAGGGACCGGTTGTTGGCTTTGACAATCGGAGTATCCCTGTGCTTAATAAAAGTTCCAAGTACCCAAGATGTGAAGAAGAAGAAACAAAGGGCTGCTGAGGCAAAACCTAAGGTTTCTTCAAAGATTAGAAACACCACCCGTTTCAGGATACATCCTTTATTTTCTTTATTTGGATAATGATCAAAATAGTCATACATATCTGGAAGAAAAATCAAGGAATTTGTCCTCTATACCTTCTAAATTATTGAAAAATCACTTTACTAATTTTATGCATCCTAAACTTATATATTCATGTTTGCTTAAGTCTAATGAAAATTGGTAGAATTCCTACCCTACCATTTTGATTTGAAATCTTCCCTTCAGGGCATGGAACACAGTCATAGCAGCAGAACTGATCCCCCTCAATCCCTTTCTTCTGATTTCCAGGGAAACAAGCATCATTGTATCTAGAAAGTGGAAGAATCTGGTGACAAACATGAAAATGTTTTGAAAAGAGTTCCTGAATTTTCTCCTTAATGCATTGAAATTATTTTTGACTTCCCAAATGAGCATTGAATCAACTAGATTTTATAGTGGAGGTTAAAAAGATGTAGAAATTACAATGTTGTGCAAAAGGTCCTGTATGTTACAATGCTGTGAAAAATGTTCTGTATGCAAATGGAAATGCAAACCAAATATATAAATGTGGCTTTTACATTGTAATGTTATTTTGTCAATTTGATGAATTGACCATTAACAATATTTGCAAAGAATATGCCAGATTTTTTATTTTATTTTAAAAATAAAAATTGTATTTCTGATGTTCACTAATGGATTAAAGCAGGGTTGATTAAATGCCTCCATTCCTGGTTAAAAACTGGGTGCCAGACAATCCTCTCTTCATCAATGAATAATTTCTTCCCTTTTGGAGCCGTGGGATCCATCTTCGCAATTTTTACTCTTTGAAAGGATCTGTTTGGAAATGTGATCAAGTTGGTGATGTCAAATCCACCTGTTTCTTTCCCTTTCTCATTCAGGAAGACTGTCTCCCCAGATGAATTGTTAAAAGAAATGCCTTGAAGAAATGAATGAAGCTGCTTGAAAAAAAATGAGAGAGGGAATTGAAAAAATAATAATAGAGGAATGGAACATCATATTCAAGTTTCATTCACTTATTTTTCTCATTCCTACAATAGTTATTAAATTTGGTGTTCAATATTGCATGGAAATGTACATGTCTACTTTATTATTAATTTAATCATATTTTAAGAACAGGTGAA